GGATGTCCCCATATGTCCGTGGATGTCCCCATATGTCCGCAGGGATGTGCCCTCCCCTATTTTGCACCTGAGAAACTAAAATTCACATTCCTTGACACAGGATAGGCTGGGGACCCAGATAAGGGGCCTTTCACCCTACCTGAGCACCACAAGCAAATCCTCACGGAAAGGGTGCATTCAGGAATTGCCTGAGTCTCAGCTTCTGTGAAAGTGAGCCCTTGGGAATCACCACTGACACTGCAGAACCCACAACAGACACAGGCCTGGGCTACAGGTGAGGTGTGTGACCATGCCAGTCCCCAGCCTGGACCTATGCTGTTCAGAGGAGGAAGGAATTTCATTTCTTCATGACCACAGACAGGGTGAGTGTAAAGGTGAGTAGAGACGTCAAAGAGTGGACCTCAAACCTCACAGATGATCAGTGCTTTCCCCAGGAATCCCAGGAAGGATTTTACTAGAAAGTGTGGAACACTGTCTTAAAGTCAGTAAAATGTAAGCATAAAATATTTTAGAAAAAAATTTATGTTAGTCTTGCAGTCCAAGTACTCCTGAATGTCCAGTTGAGGCAGAAAGAAGACTGGGAGTGCGTAGGCAGCTTGCAAATATGAAGCCATCCTGGCAGAGACAGGAGTGGCTGCTGTGTATGTAGTCTATGTCTGGGCCCCTCTTGGGACCAGAGGGGATCAGCCAAAGTAAGATCAATGCTTTCTTAGATTTATCCCTGAGGCTAGGGATGAGGACAATCTCCCTTAAGTTAACTGATATTGACCTTAATATTTGTTCCTTAAAAACTGTCCTTTGAATGTAAAACAGGCCATATTAAGGGGAGGGCACTAGAGAGAGGCAGAGGGTAAATGAAGAGGGTAAAGAAGGGTGAATACAGCTAATATACTTTCTACACAAATATGAATATGGAACATTCAAACCTATTGAAGTAACCTTAAGAAGGGGAGTGAGATAGGAGGAAGAAAAATGGAGGGGATGAACCAGTTCGAGGTACGATATATAAAATGTCACAATGAAACCCCCTGTATAACTATCATATACTAACAAAAATGATTTTCTAAAAAATGAAGGACAGGAAGGTAAAATAAATCCTGTCTGGGAGTGGCTAGAACTGGGAGAGGGATAGGGCACAAGGAAAGGGTTGAGGAAGGAGAATCTGATGGAGGTGTTTTCAGGTGTGAAAACAGAATGATGAAACCTGTTGAAATTGTTCTAAGAAGAGGGACGAGGGATAAAGAGAAAGATGGACAGGGTGAATCTAAGCTATTGCAAGCACTTATGTGAATGTCATAATGTACCCCCTATACAACTATAATATGCTAATTTTTTAAAATGTTCTTTTCTAGGGAAAAAAAAAACTGTCCTTTAAGAAAGTTTGCAAATTCTGAAAACATGTGGTGTTCGATGCAAAGCATGTCTCTGCTTGGTAAACCTTCAGGTACATGAGGCAAACAATTTTAAAAGGGACCAAGGCGAACGCTAACATTAACAATTACTTAAGACAGTGCACCACACACAGAGATGTCAGAAAAAGTTAAGTAAAAGGTACGGAAGACTGAGGAAGGGCCACCGTTCAATCCCAGGGCCCAGACTGGGTCAGATGCTGGAGCTGGAAGCCAGCCCCCAGGCCTATGAGGAGTTCCCACAAATGCCCACTTATAGAGAGCAGAACAGCCACCTAGGGGCTGCCACCATATCATTTACGCTTTTGTGGTTGTTCGGTTCCCCAAAATATATAAATTCTACCAATATCAACTTTCCTGTGGGTTGAAAAATGTTTCAAAATATTTCAGATTTTTGGAACACGTGAGTATAAATAATGAGATATTTTGGGGGTGAAACCCAAGTCTGAACATGCAGTTCGTTTGTTTCAGTATGTACACAACCTGAACCAATATAATACACTATTTTTTAGTATATCTACATTTTGATGGCAAACCATCACAAGAAATCAGGTGCAGAATTTTCCTTTTGTGGTATAAAGTTAACCCTCAACCACCATGTTGGATCTCAGAGTTTGAGTTGGGATGCTCAACTCGTATTATATTTATCTTGGCCAGAAAACAGGGGAAAAGGAAGAAAATATAATGATACTGCAGAATTTCTGTAAACTGTACCTCAGAATTGTTTCCTCTGAATTCAGAATTGCATTAGCATTCTAGGTCATATTCTGTTACTCAACTCTAGTTAAAGAGACACTCCACCCAGATGCATTTCATTTTATCTACATCTCTAAAATGGTAGCTTCTTGAAGGTACTTCAACTGTAGTCTTTGTACATAAAACAATAATTTAATAAAATTACCATTTGCTGCAATTGCTTTAAAAACATGCAAACACATGCACATCAGTCTTTTTATCCTTATTTACCCTTAAGACATTCAAGTAATTGGTATAATAATTTTAAAGACAAATCAAACTTTATTAATGTTTTCCAAGTACTTTAGAAGATCTTAATATTTTGTGAAGTACTATCAGGAAGAAAACACACAGAGAAACATTTTAAAATTTACCTCCTGAAAAAGTTTTATTTTTTTTTTAACTAATTTAGAGATTCAGGAAACTGTTGGTTTTGATTCTTTCAGGAAATAAGATGATCTGAGGAAACTGCTAGAGGACTTTAATAGGGTTTTGACAGTGAGTTATGGGCTTATTAATGGCTACCATTCAAAGGAGAAACTTTCCAGAAACTAGTGCACTCAAGGACTACCCCGAAAATTAATAAGACACAAGCCTGTCTGACCTGCAAACAGGGGACACAGCCTGCAGAGACACAATCACATCCCTACCACAAACAGACCTGTTGTGCAGGGTGGTAGGTCACCCACCTAAATACCTGGGAGTGTAGTCTGAATTCTGAAAGTACTGGGGTGACTTCATGACTGGTACTACATATCATATTAAGTACTGATTGATTAAAGACACATTGGGCCTCTGCTTTGCTCATAAAATAAAATATAAAGAAGAGAAAGATAATTAAGATAAGCTTCAACCATATGCTAAAAATTTTTTTTTAAAGGAAAAAAGAGCAAGAGGTCAGAAAAAAAGAGCTCAATGTGGCAAAGAGTAGTCAAGTAAGGTTCTAGAGAAAAGGTAGGGATGGCATGCCGGACAAGAAGACCCAAGTGAGGGAGGGCATGGGGGAGGAGGTACAAGCATAGAATGTGACCAAGGTCAGCAAACACATCCATTAAAGTAAATATGCTGCCATCTGTAGCTAAAAGTTCACTGAGGCTTTGTCAGTATCCCTGTATTATGCCCATTCTCACTGCAGTCATCTCACTGATCATGGCTATAAGCAGACTCAATGCGTAGAAGCTAAACACTGCCAAAAATAAAAATGAAGCTACAGACAAGTACGATCAACAGGGCAGCTTTTCCTGCCTTCAGGAGACTATGGAGTCATCCCTTCCTATTCCCATTCCTAGACTTGGGAGACAACATCTGGAGGGAGGGTAGTGGACAAAACATAGCCAAAAAAGCCTTCCTTCCTCCAGTGAGCAGCATCTGCCCCTTCTTGTTGGTACACAAGTGTTGAGGTGTTAACAGCTCAGATAAGGAGGCCCTAGGTGATATTAACTTACCTTCCATTTACCTCCAGCTAAATCCAACCTTAATTGGCTTGACTTTTAATTGAAATGTGATTCACCACAGTGGGCCAATGAGCCCTAAACATAAGAAGATGAAGCAGACCTGTAGGTTTGCCTGTTTGTTTTGTTATTAAATATTCAACAATATACCTGTAGGACTTAAGTGATCACTTTCCCTTTGTCTGGGTATGAGTATAAATATTAAGCCTTTCCCACATGGGAAATACTGCTCTCACCAGCACGTCTGCCGCCACCAGACTCTTTCAAAGCAGCATTAAGGTGCGTCCTTCATGGATTTAGATGGGAGAGATAGCGTTTCTATTTAATCATTTGCTCGAGACAAAAGCACGCACAGCACACTAACTTCAGCAGGAAAAGTGCACATTAAATTACTTCTGAAGCTCCCAGAAGAATACGCCTTGCAGGTTTGAGATTGCATGACAATTAAGTAATAATGAAAGAGAACTTGTGTCGTTTGATCAAATAATGCACTAATCCTACTATACACTGTGTATCATTATACACTCTCTGGGAAGTTGACTTTTTCTGGTAATTTTTATAGCTCATTCCACAGGACAGTACACAGGTAGAGAGAAAAGGAGCTGGGCAGGCACCAAGTAAGACAATGGAAGGAAGGATGCCTGGAAAGCCCCTGATAAGAATGCCTCTCATCACAATGCACAGAAAATCCCAGGTGGTTTTAATGAAAGGATACAGTTATTTCATAAGGTTCAGCTTATACAAAGCATTTTCTTCAGAAAACCTTCACCCCCGTGAATCCCAAATTCATGGTGCCAGCTACCTTGAGCAGGGCCAGGTTGAAGTTTATGAATCCTCTTTGGTACTTAAGACCAAGGTTCACTAAGCAATTAGCAGTACATCCAGACCCTCCAGGGAGGTATTTGAGAACAAGTTTTTCAAGCACTTTAGAGGCATTTATATATACCTAACATGCCATTAATCATTCTTATCTGTTCATTAAAGCAGTCTCCCTTAGGACCTCTGCTTGCCAGTTCCTTCTTAGCCTGGTTCTTTTCATCTACATACCTGAAACATCCATTTCTTTTAAAACATATTTTATCATTAAAATACTGCATGAGTTCACATGCGTGTTTTCCACCAATTAGTGTGAATTTTCAGAGTTTTATTAAATATGCAAGGCGGCCATTCTCTTCAGGGCCTTTGTGGAAAGCAAGTGTGCAAAAGCTGGGTTTTGGGATGCATTTTCGGCATTTGAGGGATTCTGAAGCCATGACTCACATCAGGATATGGACCTCTTGTCCATGTCAATACATGTTGCTTCCTTCTACCTCCCAGTGAAAGGGCAGTGCAAGTTTAACTCATAAGGCAATCTAATTGATCTAAATTAAAATTGGAAGGGAAATCAGTGGTTATTTGACCATACCTCTGCCTGAGACTCTCCCAGAACCAGGTTCAGGCCTCTGCTGGTTTCTGGATCCATCCATCCCAGTGCAGCCGGCAGGGAGATTCCAAGCAGCATGAGATGCAGCCAAAAGCCTCCTGGTTGCATTTTGTTGAGTCTATTGAGAAAATGACAAACACTCACCGTGAAGCATTACAAAATGTATAGCAAGTCACATTGAGTTAATGAATGTACTTCAGAATCAGAGCACCTTCAGTTTAAAATACAGCACAATCCTTCTGTTTTACTTTGGAGGAGTAACACTACTTCTGAGCCAAAGCTTACTCATCTCTAAAATGGGGACCTTATAATAGGGTTGCTGTGAGAATTGAAGGAGCTGGTGTCAGGCACATAGTAAGAACTCTGCAAATATTGTTAGGTAGAGTCCCACCTGAAATGTCACCTACCACTATATCTACAAGAACAAACCAGGGTGAACCCTGATCCATGCCTCAGTTTTCTAGAAAAATTGGTGAGGAATTGCATTAAATCTGCAGCATCTTGTGTGTAGCTTCCACCTCAGTTTACGAGATGCTGACACTCAAAATGGCATCAGAAAGTCTAATATTTTAGTCTTACAATCAATGACTTTTATAGCAGAATCTAAGCAGCCAATGATAATGGAATTTCAAAAATCTTAAGGGCTAGGTGTGTGGCTCAAATAGTAGGGTACACTGCTTTGCAAGTATGGGGTGCTAGAGTTCAAACCCCAGGACCTCCATAAATAAATAAATAAATAAATAACTGAAACGGAAAGCCTGAGTTAACTTTACAGAAATACACACACATTTGGCTGGAGGTATAGCTCAAGTTGGTAGAAAATCCACCTAGCAAGCACAAGACACTGAATTCAATTCCCCAGTACTAGCAACAAAACAAAATAATACAAAACAACCTTTAAAGTCTTTCCTGAGACTCACCTGGCAACATTCTGTCTAATATTCTAGAAGAAATGAAATAGGCAATTCAAGATGATCAAACAATTGCATGCTGGAAAAACTCGGGGTCAGGTATGACAAATGTTTAAGCACCTATCACGTGCTAAATACTGTGCAGAAGAAATGAGGGCAGGCACTCATCCATGTGCCCAGTCAGCCGTGCTTTTTAAATAAAATGTATCCATGGTGAATATATTCCAACCATAATTTCAGCACCTTTGTCTGAGGCAGAGCCACAGACTCATACTGCAGTACGTACAACCCTTACTCCAGGAAGCTTCAGGGGTTGTTCATTTCTGCACGCACCACAAAATTCAGTGCTTAATTACATGTGGGCCATGCTGCAACCTGATCCTGGCTAGTGAGATGAAAATACTCATAGCTTCTTAGAGGCCAGCACCATACATGTCCTGTTCCACACTGTGCCAGAGGAGGTATCCAACTCACAGTCTACTGGGTGCTTCAGGGAACCTGTAGCTCGAGGAATCCAACACTGCTCACTTCCAAAGTCAACAACCTCACATGACCTCTACTCTAAACAAAGGGCAGGGGCCATCACCCAGACGCTAGTGCTGTAGCCAGGGCCACCAAATAAATCCACTCCTGCCATGTTTCAGTTTTGCTTTGGCTGCTTTCCACATCCAAATAGAGCTGCCTCTCCACATCTCCAGCTTGATACAGAAGTGCCCACGGCAGGGGGAGGGAAGCCAGCCAAAACTTGTGAGCATAACAGGCTGGCCTATGGAAAGGTGAGGTTGTAAGGGATAACTATCTTTTAAGAGTAGGTGTGTCTTTGTTTTAAAAAGAGTCCAGAGGCTCTCACTCCTACATCTATTTCTTCTGTCATTCACCTTTGGCATCTGTCAGCAAAGCAGTCCAAGTGGCCAGTAAATATAATCTGAAGGTCAGTCTCAGCACCTGCTCTGCACTGTCACGAAAGCAGAGTGTTGCAGAATAGTATGACATCAGCTGTCAGCTGGGTGAGGCCTGTGGTACAAATAACTGCCCTCCTAATCCAGTGCTCTGGCTGGGGTGGGTGGACTCTTACAGGGCTGAGGAGGAGGAGAAAATACACACACACACATATTCAGGACTAAAAGAGAATAAAGACATCTTCCCCATATTGCAACCAGTTTTTCTAAAAGTAAATAGGGCAACCTCCTACTGTCCATACATTATCCTTTTCTGAACACAGAGTCATTTTCCAGAGACTACAGAAAGCAGCTACTGGATTTTTGGAATTTTTAAGAGCCTAACATTGTAATTCAAGCTAGAACTAGAAAGATATCACTTCTAGCTTTTCTGAATTTCCCTACTTGTCCACTACTAAACATTGTTTATGGATAAGCACTCATACCAAAGGCCTGCTCTTCTTTTGTAGGACTCCTAGGCCAAAGAGAATCAAGATTTATTCTAGTTCATGTACAAATGTCAATTCCTGGAATTATGGAATATGCAAGTCACAAAATCTAGTTATTTCATTTTCAGTTTGCCTCATAATCTAAGACCAGTTATTTCTGATGTTTTATTATTAATGGATGGCATCAAAATAAAATCTGTTCAATTTATTTTGGCAAGCACCAAATCACTTCATTCCAAAGCCCTGGTATTAACTGGCTGTTGTCAGTTTTTTCTTTTTGTTTTTTTTTTCTTTTTTGGTGGTACTGAAGATTGAACTCAGTGCCTCACACTTTCTTGAATCATACCCCTAGTCCATGCCTTGGTTTCTGAACTACATTTCAGAAACCTGGGAGTTCCAGCCCTCTACCAACTGCAGTTACCACTGGTTTTCTCTGGTTTGCATTAAGGTTCCTGTTGTGCCAATGCTTTATTCCTGTAATCCTAGCTATCTGGGAGGCTAAGACAAAAGGATCACCATTCAAAACCAGTCCATGCAAAATGTTTGTGAGACCTCCATCTCAACAGAAAAAAGCTGGGTGTCATGGCATGCGCCTGTCATCCCAACTACACGGGAAGCATAAAATATGAGGGTTACAATCCAGATTGGCCTTGGCAAAAGCAATACCCTGTCTGCAAAATAACCAGAGCAAAAAGGGCTGGGTGATGGGAAAAATACATGTTCCAGCCCAGCTACAGATAAACTCCCAGGCATCTTCTTTATAAAATTAGCTCGCTTTAGCTACCACTACCTCCGATGTCCTTTGCACAGGGGATGCGTCTTAGATGTTATTTTATATTTCTTGTGATTGACAATTCATTACATCTACAGCAGCAACAGCCTAAAAATTTATAACTCAAGTTTTATGACAGTTCAGTTCATAAAAAAGAATTAATATCAGGTCTAAATCAATTTTGATGATCTGAATAATAACTAAATAGAGACTATTTGGCAAACACTTACATAGAAATTACTGTGTCAGGCACTGTTCTAGAAGCTTTACAGGTACCAACTCATAATCCCCTCTCTTCTACGCCATGAGGAGGCCAATGACTATCCTTCCATCAGATGATGGAGGAGACATGGTCACAGAGAGCTTAAGCACACTGCCATGGCCATGTGGCCAATGAGCAGCAGAACTGAGATTCTAAGCCATGCAGGTGGACCATTTTCTATGTTCTTTGCCCCCATCCTATGCTGTCTCTCAATCCTTAGTGACATTTTATCTTGATAAACTGTTGTTTTCACTATAATGGGGAAATCTATAAAGAGCAAGAGAGGAAGCCCTAAGCCCCAAGTTTCTCCTTTCCTCTGAAAGTCCTCTTCTAGTTGTATAATGACTCTTACCAAGGCCAAAAATGCAGGACAAGGAGAAAGAACCAAGCTATCACCCTCCTGCACCCTACCCCAGCATGGGTGCCACTTGGCAAACTCTCTTCAGCCCTCACTGATACTCCATTTATGAGCCAAGAAAAAAATGTGGTCAAAAAAAAAAAGCATGAGAAATCACACCAAATTCCAGGCAGCAAGGATGCCCCTCTGCTCACAAGGAGCCCTGATCACTTTGGGGAAGTAGATCTGTTACTGAATTACTCCACAAATTCAAATAGCTCTACTGGCCTTCGGAGACAGCAAAATACAAGATTCCCCATTATAGAGCTGGGAACGTGCCATCCATCAGGTCACAAAGTCTGTCTTTCACTCAGGAGCTCCTATTGAGACTTTCAGGTTTATGAGTCTCATTCAACCCTGGCTAAGTCCTAAGAATTGGTTACACATCCACCTAGGATAGTCCTAAAATAAAGACTTGGCACTATCTCCCCACCCTCACTGCCCTGAGCAAGTCATGAAGCACAATCATGGGATAGTTAAGATACCTTGTCTGAAAGAGAGATACTTCACTGTTTCCTCTGTGGTTTCCCAATGGAGCCTCAACATTCTCCCATGGTCAGGAGAACTGGGTGCTAGCCTGCCTGCTGCATACATAGTACCCCAGAGGCCAAAAGGTTGAGGAATTCACCTAAGGTTTGAAGCCAAGTCAACACCTAGACTTAGATTACAACCCTGGCATCTTACCTCCTGGGCAACTGTCTGCTTTCTTACATTATTGCAAATTTACATATAGAACTTAAGTTTGCATTCACTATCTATATAGATTTTGCTGTGTTCAATGTTGAAGGAGCCCCACAAAATTGCCTGCCCTCTCCTTGTGGAAACCCCAGGATTTTCTGCTATTGTACAATAAGCTGATTATCCATGCTATTATTTTTTATATTTAAAATTATAGAGGTATGACAAATTAGTGTGATGTAACAATTATAAATACCAAATTGCTTTCTGAAGAAAGTTAAAAAGACATGACAGAAGGCCACAAATATTTAGGGGGAAATAGGCATTAATGTGAAAATTTCAAAACCTATCCCACCAAGAGAACACACATCAATATCCAAACTGACATTACTGAACAGGGTTGGAGCCAGAGAGAGGCATAGATATCCTACTAGCAATGGGTTTAAGACAACTCTTGTCTATTCCAGGAACCCCTCTGTTGAGAGGAGTAGGAACAATGGCCCTCTGAGCTTTGGAGGCATGGTTCACCAGTTTTCTTTCCTGGCTTCTCTTCCAGAACAAAGCAACATTACCAGACTAATCACCATGAATTAGCCACACACAAATGGCTTCTCTTTGTAATTAACAAAACTAGAAATTACAAAGATGATTTGGTAGAATCAAGTGATGCCACCCAGCCTTGAAGAGAATGGTAATATTTGTGACCTTTGGGCATTTGAATTCCAAACTTCTCTATCTGAGCTAGCAAATCACTTGAAGTGGGTTGCATTTTACACATGACATGTTGGCAATCAACAAACAGAAATCAGCTGGGGAGTACCAGAGCCCTGCAGTCCTCCTCTGCATGTCTGCCCAACCTAAAGCTATATGGTAATTTCTGCTGGAAGGCTTAGAAGTCTAGTTTTGATTTGTGAGTGTTTTCAGAAGAAAGAAAGAACGAAAGAAAGAAAGAAAGAGTTTCAAATTTCCCAAGATAGTCCCTAAAATACCAATCCAGAGAAATTAGGTGTGGAAATACATCAGGCTAACTTTATAGCAAACCAGACTGAAGTTAAATTGCATTTTCTATTAAATACTCTCTATATTTTCCAACAAATGATAAGCTAGATGCTTAAATTATTCCATGTGCAATATATAAATCTATACATTCCTATTTATCACAAAGATTAACACACACATCACTGGCCTCCAATAATCCTAACCCTTCCAATCTTCAGATAACACCTCTTAAGTACCACATCCTCTTGACTGTAATTCTGTTTTATTTGACGTTCCGTATCCTTTTTATGCATCAAGATACAGAAAATGTAAGGAAAGGCATGCTTTTGAAATAGCCCATGACTGAGCCCACATAAGCAACATTTGAGGACCAAGTTTGCAGAAAAAAATACCGCAAAGACAAAATAGACATTAAGGTAAATTTTATGAAACCCTGAGTATTCAATGATAATCTCTGGAATATAGCAGGAGAAGAACCACAGTGAATGACTGGTCAAAGTGTGAAACCCAACCCTCTTTTCCTCCTCCTCCTTCCCCCATATGTCCTGCACATGCAGAGGGATCAAAGCTCTCCCAATGTCAAGAAAAACAGCGTCCCCCTCTTTGGAAGAAAAAAAAAAAAACTCGATTTATCCAGTTGAGGATAATCATAAAATTTCAAGAGGAAAAGAAAGCCACTAGGACAAATCTAAAGGGGAATTTTAATACATTACATCAAATGAACTATTTTCTTACATGACCTTTGGCTGGGATGCAAATCTTGGGAGAGAGTATGTTCCCAGAATGGGTGAAAGTAAGCGACCATTCCGCTGCGGAGAGTATACATGGCCTGGCAATGCTGCAGGGCTTTCTTTTCACAGCACTGAGCTAGGAAGCAGATCCTTGCCTTACAGAGAAGACCACTCCAGGGTTGGTTTTGAGCTACTGCCTGAGCGGTACCGGGGCTCTGGTGGTACACAATGCACATCACTCACTCCACAGATTGTTACTACACCACTGCCTAGCCCAAAGCCTGTCCTGGGAGTCAGATGGGGCAAACACGGAAACTGGTCCATCCCAGCGCTAAGAAGACCCTGTTCAAAATCATTTCGGGCCTCCCAAAAGGTGGGTGGTAGAAAAATAACTTGAGGCTTTCTGGAAAAGTCCTAATTTCTGGATCCCTCCTCTCCCCATCCCTGCCTCACAGAATAGTGGGGAAATTTTGCACATTTTGGCTAGCAGTTACCTTCCCACCTCTTAACTGAAATTCTGTTTAGGTTAGGCCCATGCAACCATGCAATGGGCCTGGATCTTGGTACCTACCTTGGGGACCTCAAATTTACTAAGGTAACAGAGCAAAGCTACTGGCGCTGTTTTTCACTTTTCGGAAACCTCGGCAGAAGCGACACCTAGAGGGAGGAGCGAGAGCCGAGGCTGCGGAAGCGCAATTCACCAGCCATAGGGACAGGAGAGAAGTCTGCGGGGCAGCGCAGCAGAGCACCAACTCTCCAGGGCCTGATGCAGACCTAGCGAGGGCCCAACTCCCCGGGAACTTGCAGTAGACCGACGCGCCGCAGCGGATGCTGGCAAGTTCAAGACATTATGAAAGCCCTACTGCTTCCAGCCGGTTTCTGCCCCTACCTGCAAGAGTTGCAGGACACGAAGTCCTCAGGTGGCAGGCCTCGGGCGAACCCGCGTAGTGCGCGCTGTGACAGCTGCAGGGAGCCCTGAAGGCTCACGCTACGGTCGCCCCCAAACTCCAGACGACAGTCGCCCATAGCGAAGCGCTCTGCCTGCGTCCCCCAGGACCTCCCTTCCTCCCTCCCCAGAAACTTGGAAATGGTTTGCTTTGTTAAAGCAAAGACAGACGGAGATCACTCACAGTACAATCTAAGGACCAAGCTCCAATCTGAATGTCCCCAGCGGGTAACATCAGTTGTTCGCTCCCATTAGCTATGGGCCCCGCAGAAGGAGAGCCGCGTTCTGCCTGGATTCCCTCCTCTCGAGCCTTCAACATCGTGGACCTCCTCGGGGTAGTGTCAGCCAGGAGAGGCGCAGCGGGCCCTTTGGCTGCAGCGAGGAAAAGCAAGTTTCCCCGCAAAGCCGATGGGGGAAGAGGTGTTGAGGACGCCCGCCCGCACCTTAGCCCGGAACCAAGGGCATGGGTCCGAGCCGAGGCCGCTTGAGGTCCGACGACAAGAGCGGCGCCTGCAGGGACTCGAAGCCAAGCGCGAGCATCGGGCTCAGCCCAAGCGGTTCCGCGCGCCATGGGGTAGCCTTGGTCTCCACTGCAGACCCCGGGCCACAAGCCTCGGTGCGCCAGCCTTTAGTAAGAGTCCTAGCCCAGTCAGGCTGCCCCGCCGAGCCCTGGCCCTGTGGTCCCGTGCCCGCGGCTAGACAGGCAAACTTGGCTCTCCGGAGCCGGCAGTAAGGACAAGCAAACGCCCGCGCAGGGCCCTGCAGCGAGACGCGGAGCTGCGGTCGCCGGGACCCCAAAGGGGCGCAGAGGCACCCGTTGGCGGCGGCAGTTTAGTAACCCCGTGCCTGCTCCCGAGCTGCTCCCGCTTACCTGCGGCGGCCGGGGCCGAGAGGAAGACCAGGTGGCCGGACCCGGGCAGGAGGGAGGGAGCGCCCCGTGGCGGCGGCGGCGACCTGGTCCCGCGTCCTCCAGTGGATCTCACTGGCTGTTGGTGGGTCCTGGGCACACTAGAGACTGTTGAGGCTCCACCTCTCTGAGCCACCGCTGCCGCTGCTGTGCCACCACCGCCGCGGCTGCCCTATTTCTGCCGCCGGGACCGGAGCCCGTGACGTCACCCTCCGGGCTCCGCCTGCCCAATCGCCGCCACCTGTGCGCGCCGCCCGCCCGCCTGCGGGTCAGACCCGCGCGGAGCCCGCGGCAGGTGCGCGGAGCAGCGGGGCGCGCACACGGGCCGCAAGGACTCCGGGCGTGTTGAGGTCATCTCCGCCAGCAGAGGTAGGGGGCAGGGGGAGAGCTCACCACCCATGGCTCGCGTGGAGCTCAGCAGGTGACAACCTCCTGGCTCCCATTCCCACACGCCGCTCCTCTCTTAGACGCTCCTTTCCGGGCCAGGTTCCCCAAGGTTGCGCTCTCCAGGTGCTCAACCAGGGCCATTTCTTGTAGAGCCCAGGAAGATACCACATCAAGAGAGCTGTCCCAGGAGTCAAACTCCAGGGATACTTACCCTCCTTTGAGAGCCAACAAATTGTGGAAGAGCAAAGTTTTTATTTTTCTCTTCTGAATCTGCCTTCTCCCAATTGCACAATCTTGTGCGACCCACCCTGGGAATACAAGGGCAATCCCAGATGACCTTTGCCCAGCCTGATCAAAGGGTCCCTTCTTATCCCTAAAACAAGAAACACATTTTCCCTGTTCTGACACCATTCCCGGGCCTGGGGCTCCCGAACTTTTCTGAATCTCTCTGTAACATTCACACCTTTTGAGATCAGTCTTGGTGTTCAAACTGGGAACACCTTTGTAACTAGTCCTCCTCCCCATGGTCATACTGCAGCCTTGGTCTGACACCACACTGGAAAGGAGGTCCTAGCCAGACCCTCCTACCTGGGATAGCCAAGAACCTTTCCAAGGGCCTACTTCCGCTGTGTGGATGCCAGACGGTTTCCTGGTGTAAGAAACAGTGCCCTGTCCATGTGGCTGGGATCTATCCTGGCCTGCAGGAGGGGACGGTAGGGCTTTTCTAAAGATGGAGTTAGTTAAATATCAAGAGAAGGGGAAGAATGATAGAGAAGTGACACACGGAAGAAGAGACATTACATCTGTTCTTTCTACAGCCAAGCCCCTCCTGCATACCAGCCACGGGGCTACTTGCTGGGGATACAGTGTGCTGGGCTAAGATATCCCTGTCTTCACACAGAGTTTTGGTCTGGGATCTAGCCCTCCTACCACTGCCCAGCTGTGTAGCCCAGAGCCACTATATCTGTGCTGTTGACATCAGTTTCCCATATGCAACATTAAGGACTGGATAAAACTGGGTCTTGTGTGTGGTACTAAGAAAGGTAAAGGCTGCTCTACCCTTGGCGCTCTGGGCCTTGGCCAGCCTGATGCTCTCTCAGATTTGACCATGAATCTTTGCCAAGGCCACACATGGCTGAACCTCTGAGGCTGGCTGGAGGCCAGATTTTCTGCACCTGGTCTGGGAAAGGTAGAGTACTTTTCATCTCAGTAAAAAGAAAGAAACACTGGCCTAAAGGAATCAGAGAAGTCTGGGCACGTGCTTTACCTCCCTCTGAAATTCAGTCCTAAATCTGTGGTCAAGATGGAGCCCCATGACAGGTGCCAGTGTCTCATGCCTATAATCCTAGCTACTCAGGAGGCAGAGATCAGGAGGATGACCATTCAAAGTCAGCCCTGGCAAATAGTTTGTGAGACCCTATCTCAAGAAAACTCATCACAGAAAAGAGCTGGTGGAGTGGCTCAAAGTGTAGGCCCTGAGTTCAAACCCCAGCACTGAAAAAAAAAGAAAAAAAGATGGAGCTCCACATCTTAGAAGCTGGCCCCAGACCCCTCTCAGTGGTGAAATATTTCAAAAAGCAGATTTCTGTTCTTAGCTCTTAGCACAAAGTCCCTGAGTAAGCCTAGTGGCCTTGTTATATAATCAAGGCAAGACTTTGTTGGTTTTTGTTTTTTAATAACTCAAAGTCATATGTAAGTCAGGGTCCATAGATTGACCAAGATCAGAAATAGCTATGTGAACAGAACTGGGCTGCTTTAGCTTTCTAAAGAAGAGGGAAAGTAGTTGCTGTAAACCAGATGTACTGACTATCCCTTAGAGATAATGCTAATATCTGAAGTGAGCTATTGTGACTACTGTGCATAAAATAAGAGTGAAATTATAAGTCACCTTGGAATATAAAAGGTGGAGTGTGAATGACAAACTAAAACCAGGCTCCAGGGAAGCAGCCTCAGATGCCCATAAACTCTGACACCTCTTTGAATTGCTCTGTGCCTTCACCTCCCAGGGCAATTCTTGGTTTAATAATATACCCCAACTTGGAAAACAGGCTAGATTTCACACAGAGAATTTCAGAACTTTCCTGCAACTCTGTTTCAAAACTTGCAAGCACACCATTTCTCAGTAGCCAACTAGGATTCTTTGGGGGGGGAGGAGATTAAGTTTTGAATTTCATAAGATTCAGTAAATTTGGAATGGAAGAGCTATGAACATAAGTTCAGATTATTGTCCCTGGCCTTCAGCCTAAATTACTGGTGAGTGCTTCAACCATACAGATTCAGAGATACACAAAAGGAAGTTATTAATACATTTCTACAAGGTCAAGAAGTTTAAATAAACATCATAATTTTCTTTTTTTACTTTATGAATTTTAGATCCTTTTTATATTTCTACCTTTTTTTCCCTTGGCAATACTTGGGTTGGAAATCAGGGAACCATTTGAGTCATTCCCCTAGCGCTTTTGCTTCAGTTCTTACACGTTCCCCTAGGCCAGCCTCAGACCATGATCCTCCAGAGTAGCTGGGATTACAGGCATGCACCATCACTATTCTTACCAAAACCACAGCCATGTGATGAAAAACTATTGCCAAACAGTGTGCATCTCCTGTAGGTAATTTTAAATGACAGCTACACATCAGGATACCCAGACATGCCACACTGCCTTAGGGATCCAGGAGGAAAAAAGGCCCTTCCTCCAGATTCAACCAAAAATATCTCTATCACTGGCTGTGGGAGCCAGTCATGTGAGAAGGTGGGAAAAGAAAGAAACAGTCTTCCTTATTCTGAATAAACTAATATTCTGCACCCTGTCCAAAAATGTCTTTGTAAATCTTCAAACCAAGGCCTGCATATATAGAAAAAGTAACCTAATGCTCAGGAAAGCCCTGATAAGGAAGGCACCAAACTCAGCTCCTTTCCTGTCTCTGCCCCTCTTGGGCTTGGTAAGGTTTCAGCATTTTGTTTCTTCCTCTCTTATGCGGAAGATAGGGAGAGTTGCTTCTGATGGGAAGCAATCATAAGAAGTGGACTTCTAAGATCATTCTCCATTCTAAAAGACAATGCCTTTATTATGCTAGTATTTACAGAAGTTAGAGCTACTCTGATTTAAAAAGAGCTCTGGTGTTAAAGATTTCCCCTAAGTCTAATAATGCTGATTTCTTAAATGATAATTCATTGAATCATGCAGATATTCAGGGAATGTAGGCAATACATTCAAAATTCTAAACCTAAAATCACCCTCAGAAATAATTGTTTTTAACTTTGATTTAGGGAGAATGGTAGCTAGCAAAGAGATAAGTGGGGAAGCTTTTCAAGGCAATGAAGAAGTAATATAGAGTAGGAACTTTAATTAAGAAGTTGGGATGAATGAGAAAATGCAATGATGAAAAAGGGAGTTGTGAATGGTGAAAGTGGAGAGAAATGAACAATGAAACCCTTTTCAAGGGCATTGTCCAGAGGCCTAAGTCCCATCAAAACCCTAGGCATGAGAATAAGGCTGAAAAGATCTTAGGAAAACTGTGGGTAATCAGAGGAAACTGAGCTCTGTTACTCAAGAAATTCAGTGTGCACAGGGCACAATCCAGGAGAGGACCGGCCTCCAAGCCACAAAATGCCACATCCTCTAGAAGATAAGAATGGGATGAAAGCAGGAGCCTTCCAGGAGGAGAGAGAAGGGAGGGGCCAACTTCCTGTATGCAAAAGGGAAACAAACTAACAAATTTTTGTCTATGGGATTGTTCTCAACAATCAAATATTAGCACAGAAGCTTTTACTACATTGTGATTTTAGAGAGAGTAAGAGACAAAGTTCTCTTCTGGGCAGTGCTTAGAGCAGAGGGATGACTTGATGGGGGGGTGAAGATATGGGAACATCTGGCAGCAAAGCATTCAAGCAAAGGCACAACAGGATTAAAAGAATGCATGGGGAACTGACTTACTGTGAACCAGGTTGATGGGGTTAATAAGCCAGGGACCTCAATGAAGAGCTGTAGAAGGCAGAGGGGTCAGCAAGGACTTGAGACCTGATCGTTGATGTTATGAGAGTCACTAGAGGGTCTTAAACAAGAAAATGGTATGACCTAATATAAGTTTTTAACTGACCACCCTGGCTGCTATAGAGAGGATGAGTTTGGAAGAGGGATAGTGGCTGATGGCAAGAGTGAAAGCAGAAGAGACCAGCTGTTTAGCTGTTGAGAGGTACAAAGTCCTGTCCAACCCATAATTATCAATGCCATCACATCAACACCTGTTTCTTTTTTTTTTTTATTTTTTTTTATTTTGTGTGCCTCATGAGAGGGGCACAAACATTACATAAGTTCTCCCAACAAATAGGGACTGAAATAAGTCTTCCTTCCCAATCACATCCCATCAACACCTGTTTCTTAACGGTATGGATACCTGTTCTAGTCCTTGTACAAATTATTTGGCCTAATCCTCACAACTCTGTTAAGATCTCCATTTTATAAATTAAACCCAAACAAATTACACAGCTCACCTAAGTCAATTTGACTGGCAAGTGACAGAGTTAGGAATCAATTCAGAGCCTTTCCTTGTAATCACTATGGTGATTTTGTATCAGTTACGCACTGTGGTTGGAGACAAAGCAGCTAACACATATCTCAAATTCAAGTCCTACAAATAGGTGCCTGGAGACCCTTCTGTTCTGAATCTATTGACA